TAATGAATTATATATATATATATATATATATATATATATTACTTACTTACTTACTTACGCCTGTTACTCCTCGTGAAGGAGCATAGGCCGCTCACCAGCATTCTCCATCCAACCCTGTCCTGGGCAATCCTTTCGAGCTCCGTCCAGTTGTAATTAATCGTTTTCATATCTGCTTCTATTATTCGACGTAATGTGTTCTTTGGCCTTCCTCTTTTTCGCCTCCCTTCAGGATTCCAAGTTAGGGCTTGCCTCGTGATGCAGTTTGACGATTTGCGTAATGTATGTCCTATCCATTTCCATCGTCTTTTCCTAATTTCTTCTTCAGCTGGAAGTTGGTTTGTTCTCTCCCACAGAAGGCTATTGCTGATGGTATCCGGCCAATGGATGTTGAGTATCTTGCGTAGACAGCTATTTATAAATACTTGTACTTTCTTGATTGTGGTTGTTGTAGTTTTCCAAGTTTCAGCTCCATACAGTAGAACTGCCTTGACGTTCGTATTGAAGATTCTCACTTTGATATTGGTTGAAAGTTGTTTTGAGTTCCATATGTTCTTCAATTGTAGGAATGCGACCCTTGCTTTGCCGATCCTTGCCTTTACGTCTGCATCGGATCCTCCTTGTTCATCGATGATGCTTCCCAGGTATGTGAAGGACTCTACATCTTCCAGAGTTTCGCCATCAAGTGTGATTGGATTGCTGTTCTCCGCTTTGAATTTGAGGACCTTAGTTTTCCCTTTGTGTATGCTGAGGCCTACTGATGCAGAGACTGCTGCTACACTGGCTGTCTTTATCTGCATCTGTTCGTGTGTACGTGATAGGAGGGCTAGGTCATCTGCGAAGTCCAAATCGTCTAATTGGTTCTGAGCTGTCCATTGTATTCCGTGTTTTCCCTCAGATGTCGAGGTCTTCATAATCCAGTCGACCACCAGAAGAAAGAGGAAGGGAGAGAGTAAACAGCCTTGTTTGACTCCGGTCCTTACTTGGAATGCATCTGTCAGCTGTCCTCCATGCACGACTTTGCACTGTAGTCCGTCGTATGAGTTCCGGATAATATTGACAATCTTCTCAGGAACTCCGTAGTGTCGAAGAAGTTTCCATAACGTCCTCCTATCTACACTGTCGAATGCCTTTTCGTAATCAATGAAGTTGATGTATAATGATGAGTTCCACTCAACTGATTGTTCGACGATGATCCGTAGTGTTGCAATTTGGTCTGTGCACGACCGATCCTTACGGAATCCAGCTTGTTGATCTCGAAGTTGAGCGTCTACTGCATCCTTCATCCGGTTCAGCAACACTCTGTTGAAGACTTTCCCTGGTATTGCTCAGATCTCCTTTCTTTGGAATCTTGACGAGGTGTCCTTCTTTCCAGTCCATCGGCACTTGTTCCTCCTCCCAAATCTTTTTGAATAGAAGATAAAGCATGCTTGTGGTTGTTTCGATGTCTGATTTCAGTGCTTCAGCTGGTATGTTGTCGGGTCCTGCTGCTTTCCCGTTCTTGATTTGTCTGACGGCCATTCTAATTTCTTCCGTAGTTGGTGGATTGACATCTATAGGAAGATCTATGTGTGCTGCTTCGATGTCCGGTGGATTCGTTGGAGCCGGCCTATTCAGGAGTTCCTCGAAGTATTCTACCCATCTGTTACGCTGTTGTTGAATTTCGGTGATTGGCTTGCCTTCTTTGTCTTTGACCGGCCTCTCTGGTTTACTGTATTTCCCTGATAGTTTCTTCGTTGTATCGTAAAGCTGTTTCATATTTCCTTCTCTAGCAGCTTTTTCTGCCGTCGTTGCTAGTTCTTCCACGTATTTCTTCTTGTCGGCTCTAATGCTCCTCTTCACTTGTTTGTTTGCTTCTATGTATTCAGCTTGTGCTTGGACTTTCTCTGCTCGTGTTCGGCTGTTGTTTATTGCTGCCTTCTTGTTCTTCCTTTCTTTGATCTTGTCCAGTGTTTCTGTAGAGATCCATTCCTTATGATGGTGTTTCTTTAGACCCAGAACCTCTTGACACGTTGAAGTCAATGTTTCTTTGATGCCTTTCCAGTTGTCCTCCATAGTAGTTTCTTCTTCTTTCAGTAGATCTTGTAAGGCTTGGAACCTGTTGTTGAGAGCTATCCTGAATTCATTGAGTTTGTCAGTATCTCGAAGGAAGGCTGTATTGAACCTTTGTATTGCTGTTTGTCCACTTGTCCAGTTCTTTTTTAGCTTCAGTTTCAAATTGGCTACAACTAGGTGGTGATCTGAAGCTACGTCAGCACCTCTCCTGGTTCTCACATCTTCCATTGTCCTTCGGAATTTTTTGTTGATGCAAATATGATCTATTTGGTTCTCTGTAGTGTGGTCCGGTGAGATCCATGTAGCCTTGTGTATACGCTTGTGTGGAAATATTGTGCCTCCTATGACCAACTTGTTGAATGCACATAGATTTGCAAATCTTTCTCCATTTTCGTTTCTTTCTCCCAGTCCATGTCGTCCCATAATATCTTCATATCCAGTGTTGTCTATTCCGACTTTGGCATTTAGATCTCCCATCAGAATAGTTAGGTCCTTTCTTGGGCATTTCTCAATGATTGACTGCAGCCGCTCGTAGAACTGATCTTTAATTTCGTCGTTGCTATCATTGGTGGGTGCATAACATTGTGTAATATTCATTGTGATCCCCTCCTTCTTTGTTTTGAATGATGCTTTGATGATTCTGAATCCGTGAGATTCCCATCCTACAAGTGCATTTCGTGCTACTTTGGACAGCATAAGAGCGACTCCCTGAGTGTGTGGAGCATTGTCCTCTTCGTGACCGGAGTATAGCAGCATCTCTCCCGTAGCTAGCCTTTTCTGTCCAGCTTGGGTCCAGTGGGTTTCGCTGATTCCCAGTACTGCTAAGTTGTATCTCCTCATTTCCGTTGCTATTTGACTGGTCTTCCCGGTTTCCCACATTGTTCGAACGTTCCATGTACCTATAAAAATTTTTGCTCTGGTTGTTAGAAGGGGCATCGGCCTCGTGGCTTCCGAAGGAACTCGGCTTTCACCATGAAGCGTCATAATTCTTCTAAATGAAGACCTTCTAACCCCCAGGGCAGAGTTAAAATGGTTTGGATTATTTTTTCTGGTAAGCGTTTTTTTAGCGAGTTAATTTTCTACGGGATGGGGACGCTAACCCCATGCCCAACCCTCCTCCTTTACCCGGGCTTGGGACCGGCAGCAACCCTATAAGAGCTACAGGCGGAGTTATATATATATATATATATATATATATATATATATATATATATATATAACAACTATACTCAGTCTTTTGCCCTATAAATCTTGTTAGGAAGTTGAATTATAGTTCAGTTCGGTACTAATACTACTTTGGTAGTAGACATAATCCGAAACTGGTGAATGTTTCATAATGTGATTGCCTAATCTGTAAGATCTTACGTGGAAGCCACATCACAGACTCATCGTATTGTAGCAATTAACAATGGTACTTAATTATTCTGAAGAACATATGTGTTCAATGTGAATAGTAATGAGTTACACATAATGACCATGTCTTCGAGGCTGAGCCATGCCATCCGATTGAATGAATGTCTCAATGTTCACCATTGCCGACCTTCTCCAAGTGTTACATGTCGAATATACATCTTTTCAGTCATTATGTGCGTGGTTAGGAAACAGTGCCACTACAGGTATCCATCCGAATATACTGTCATAGTGAAGAAGCGTGTATATACAACACAACACTGGCGAAACTTCTAAACTGATGCTGTACTACAAGGTTTCGTAACAAAACGGGTATTTATAGGGCAAATACTTCTTTGTTTTTAATTTCCACAAACAGTTTCCCGTTAAGATTATCGGTATATCTCCCCACGAAATTACAAAGAAGACGAAAATAAAAATCATGCAAGTTTATAGATGCATCATCACTACTGGTACAGGAAGAACAAATTTCGATGCAGATAGACCAGTCTACAAGTTGGATGTACAGTTAAATTAAAAATACTACTATAAAGAATTTCTTACTGCACACAGTTCCTGTCAGGTCGTCACACTTTGTTACATTCCGATCTATATTTTCTATCGCAAAGAAAACTGCACAACAACAAACGTTAGAGAAACTGCAGTCTTACCTACTTACTGATGATTCTTAAGTAAACATTGTCTTCGTCGAATCTGTACATACTGTTTGCGTCGTCTGGGTAGCGAAATTGTTATGTTATTATGAAAGGTGTGAGTGTTATCTATCTTCCATCAATTGCAGTGTCTAAGAATATGATGAACTATATATATATATACTTCGTAACTGATCGAGCTTACCTGAAAGAGTCCATTTTCTTGCGTATGCCAGTAGCATATGATGGCAAGGACACTGGCATGTTACAATTTATCTGCAGTCCAGATTACATCTGCTCGCAGTTATTTTGCCTCCAGGCAAACAGAACAGGACGTCCGCGACCAAAACTATTCCCAAACTTCACATCAATTAGAAAAAAGTTTCCCCAAAATGGGGAGATTGGGATATTACGAAGTAACAGTCGATTCAGCGTGTGAACTAAAAGACAAAGAGAGCTAAATTAATGTTCTTCGCAATGATTTTGTGGTTTTGCTGCAGCAAAAGACTACTTAAATATGAGAACACTTGGTATTCATACGACCAAACAGACAGCAAACAAACACACAGCAATTGAAATACGTACTGACCGCTTATTGTGAGGCTGCCCAAGGTCGCTGAAACGAAACGGCGGGTGACTTTGAAAAGATATAACTTTTCTACCGTGCCGTTGGGATATGTGCTTTTAGTTCCGATCTTAAGACTGCAGTAATCCGAGGCTTGTGTTATTTCGGACTATCGCTTACTGCTTTTGTTGATAAGTTCAAGTTCATCGTGTTCACTTGCTGGGGTGTTGACTCACCTTTTCTTCGGTTCTCTTTTCCAGTCCCCTTCACTCACGCTAGTCCCATTTCTCCCTTAGTAAACAAAAATATCTTGTGACTAAGCACAGGTTGCCACTTCTCTGATGAGTATCAAGCCATCTGTGGGTTGTGTGGATTCTCTCGTGTCTCTTTGGAGCTTCGTATGTGGTTCTACTTTGTTTCTGTTCCTTCTTTACATTGATGTTTCCTCTTCGATAGTAAACTGTGTTTTTAAGTCCCTTCTTCTTCAGAGTTGTTTGCTAGTCCCCACATCGCTAATCGTTGTATCTAACGTAAGCAGATTTGTTAATGGCGTCCATCAATGCCCTATTTATGGGAACTTTTGGCGCGCATACTTTCTAGGCTGTGTTTTCGGTCTTGGATCATTCTTTGCCTTTCAATCTGCCATGAGGAAAATTCGAAGTGACTTTTGTACATTTGGAATTTATCTTGACTTCCTTGCATTTTTCCACTGGTCCGAGTTTTATTTCACTTCCATTTACAACCTGAGTAATTGTTCACTCGACATATATATGCTCACACATAGCCCTGAATATGTTCTAGCCCTTACGGCGAGTGTACTTGAGTACTGGCTAGAGAAATACTTCCTATACGACGTGTTTTCATCATACAAATGGAGTATTGCTGTTATCAACTGTCTGGGGTCTGGGATGTGCATTTTCGGCGAAGTTTTACGTAAACTAGCTCTGCTCACAGCTGGGAGAAATTTCAATCATTATGTGCAGTTCACAAAAAATCGCAAACATCAGTTGGTAACAAGTGGAGTTTACGCGTGGTTTCGCCATCCGGCTTATGTTGGGTGGTTCTGTTGGTGCATTGGTACTCAGATTTTACTCATCAATCCCTTGTGTTTAGTCGCTTATACTATAATAACATTTGTTTTTTTCAAAGGAAGAATATATGCTGAAGAAAAGGCACTAGTAGGTTTTTTCGGAGAAAGTTATCGGAAGTATCAAAAATTGGTTTCTACTGGAATTCCTTTCATACATGGATATGTATCTCACTAACTCATGTCGGTGATGAGGAAGTGTCATTTTATGTAAAAATTTCACAAAATAAACCTCTCCAACTGTAGACTTCCCTTTTTCTTAAACATCCTTGTGGATTAAATTAGTCCACGGTATTGGTAATCTAAATATTGGTCAAAGTATCTAAACCTAAGTAGAACTTTTCACAATCCCATTATAATAGGATTAGTAGAAACTGGTGTGGTGAATCCAAGTTGAACTTACTTTTAACCATAGAACTCGAATAATCTCTAAAATGTTTGATCTTCTGAAGGGTTAGTAAACTACCATTGTCTAATTCATTAACGGACCTGTTCCTAGTGTTAATTCCATTCATTACCCCAAACTTAGTAAACATTTCTCGGTTTTAAATACTTATTTTGTAAGACAATCCAGTGGATTGTTAAAATACGTCTAGGTCCACACACATATATAACTCTCAAATGTTTTTATAGCATCCGACCTGAAAAACCAGCACCTAATGTACGTTATAATTAATTTGTAGTCATTAGCATACCTGATACTTAACAATGTTTGCAATCGTTTGTTGTTTCTACTCATTTTAGGCAGTAACACTCCATACAGACTTGGGAGATTTAAAAGTGGAGTTATTTTGTATGCAGGCACCCTTAGCTTCAGAGGTAAGGTTAACTATTATTTCAGTGTGTTAGTCTTTTTTGATAGTTTTTCTGTAGTACAAGTTGGTGATTATGCTACTTAATTCAGCTGTCTACAGAAGTTTAGCTAGGAGAAGTATCCTACTGACCTGTTCACCAGCGAGCGTACCCTATATAATTGATACGTTTCTGAAGATAGGAGGGTCAGTAAACCGTGCTGTTTACTGGCCATTGAGAAATGAAATTCAACCAGTTGGCACTTTGTTGATTCAAAGTTCGTCTCCCGAGACTCTACGCTATACTTTGCACAAAATTTCATCATTTCGCTGTGTACATTGTGTTATAAATTCGGAGAGCAAAAAGAGTATGTTCAGGCTCCCAATGTTTCGCATCAACTCCGATCCATCGATTTGGCCAGTTGAGAATGTCGCAAAATATTCTTCTTATCAGTATCCTGGGAAATTATGTGTAAAAGCAAATCTTTCTATCCGTCCATCTGTCCCGTCTTCGAAAGAAATGACCAGTATACTTATGTCTTGTCAATCATTTGATGATCAAGTTTCCACTTTTTATCACCTCACACGTTTAACTGAACTGGATATTTTGGCTAGATTTGTTCTAAGTGATAGTATTGAAGAAATCCTGGGTTTCATATTTCGTGGGACAAAAGTTTCAATATTTGGCTCTGTGTTAAATGGTTTAGGATCAGTTAGTTCAGATGTAGACCTTGTTGTTAAACTACCATTGAATTATGACAATTTACAGTATCTTCGTGATACCAAACCAAACTATTTGACGTCGGATTTATATCGAACGAAAATAATATCTTTAGATCCAGATTGTTTAAAGAACAGATTCTTATCTTTTCTACAGATGATGTTAAAGAAATTGGATCCATTAGGATTTAAATACTCAAGAATATACACTGGTCGAGTTCCTATTATTCATTTGGATCAAATTCGTGTTCTTGAAGTTGGATTGGATATTTCATCGCTTACCAAATCTCCTTTGATGAATAATGGGGAATCAAAACATTGTGGGACTAAAATGGCTGAAATTCTTCATTTCCTAACATTATGTATCCCTGAAATTCCAAAGTCTGTAGCTCTCATAAAATATCTTGCTCGTGAATTGCGTATAACTCGTAATGGTCCAAGTCCTGGATTTACTAATTTCAAATTAATTTCACTCTTTATTAACTTTTTACAAGTTTCAAATTATGCACCTTCGTTTATTCGTCTACAATCTCTCATTAAAAATTCCATCACATTGGATAGTACAAGTGCTTTTTCTGCTCACACTCATTTCCCCGATCTCAACCCATTTCCATCGACAGAAGACTTACTGAGTAACTTTTTAGTTTATGTATGCAGCATAAAACCATGTGACATAATCATTGACCTTCGTAATGGCTGTTTAACACCACGACTGGAATCTACTGGTACTGAGTATACAGACCATATGATACCTCATAGAAAACATTATGTACTCTGTCCAGACCCTACATATCCACAATGTAATATCTGGTCTGGTATCAATGAGGATCATTGGTCATGTTTTGTGCAGATATGTCGTGCACTACAGGATACTTTAAAAATGCAGTGTAATAAAAATGAAAATTCTAAATGGGGTCTTCTTGCTTTGACTGATTTTGATGATTGTACCAAATTAAAATTTGTAAATGATCCTGACTACTACCATCTGGTAGATCCTATTCAGTCTTAACATGTATACAAACAATTATCTTTTTAGTTCTAACAAATTTTTTTATAGAAAAATATTTATAAGTAAGATTCTAGCTTGTACATACGTTCTTGTGTCCTTACGTGTTTTTTAAAAAATCTTTGTATATGTCTCTTCCCTAATTTGTAGAATTTTTTAGCATTGTGTGCTTCAGATTATTATAAAGGCTGCATATTTCATCGTAATATCAAAGGGTTTATAGTGCAGACTGGGGATCCTACTGGTAAGGTGAATAATGCATGTATAACTTTAACTCAATGTGCCTGTTTTTTAAGGAACTGGCAAAAACGGACAGAGTATTTGGAAAAAACGATTCAAAGATGAATTTCATGACTCATTAAGGGTAATTTGCAACAAAACAATCGTTGTTATGTTAACAATAGCATAATGCTCGAGGAATCATGTCAATGGCTAATAATGGTCCCGATTCTAATGGTTCCCAGTTTTTCATCACCTACAGTAAACAAACCATGTTAGATATGAAATATTCGATTTTCGGAAAGTGAGTGAATTTTGAAACAAGCTTCGACCCTACTTTTTTTTACCATTAGCTACTGTTTAGTGATTGCTTGAATACAGGTGTTCCCTAATTTAGTTATCTGTTCTAAAATCAACTGGTAATTTATGCCTGTGTTCCCAATTATCTAATAATTTAGAGTAAAGTACTGCAATCATTAAAAATAAAAGATAAAGCTGTAATATAGGATAACTAGATTAAGGTTCCTCAATTAGTCATAATGGGCGTAGATCCTGTCACAAAGTATATGTTAGCCCAAGTTCTCATACCATATCGGCACAAGGTGAAACCAACAAGATGATTAGTGAACGAGTCGAAATAACAGAAGTATGAATGATAGTAAGGAAAACTAAATATTGAAATTGTTGTTCGAAAATAATCTATGTATGGAGGAATATAGAAGCTCAAAATCTAAGTATGTGTGTGGTATCTGTACCACTGTCTGGTTTTGAGTCACGTCACCCAACGTCTCAAATCACTGGTCGTAATATGTCGTAAAACTCCTCACGTACCTATTCTAGAGTTGCTGCCGGTCCCGAGCCCGGGTAAAGGAGGGTTGAGCGTAAAGTCACCAACCCCATACCGTAGAAAAAAATCTTGCTAAGAAAACGCTAACCAGATCAGACAAATTAAGTCATTTAAACTCTGCCCTGCCCCTAAATGCTCTGGTACGGCCAAGGGTGGGGAGAGTCAGCTCTCCCTCTCGAAATGCTCACATCACCACACGTATACAGCCACTACCAGGGAAGTCCTACTCAATACCTTCTCACGGTGGGAGTGTCGTTTACGAAATTGAGAGGACGAAAAGCGAATATCCGGCACTTTAACCGGGTTGGTCGATATGGAGGATCCACCTAGGGGATTTAGAAAACCCTGATTCAAAACCAATCGTGCACATGGGCTCCAGTATCCTGAGGGAACAAATGGCATATGAACCTGTTGTTGGTCACTAGTTACTATGGGACTGCATTCTCTTACGTTGCTCCACTGCCCTGTGGATTAGACCTTTAGGTAAAATGCTCGGGTGTGGCCTCCTAAGGAAACCACCTGTTTCGGTTTGGGCAACCGGGCAGTATCCCAGCCGTCACACAGACCGAATGATTTATGTGGCGCATATCTATTTAGTGCCTCCTTGTACCAATGTTTGTGTTTAAATAAATAAATCTCTGTCCTGGCAGTTAAAGGAAGATTTATTACACCACAGGATAAAAATCGAGATTCTTCGGAAGTCACAAGGTTGACGCCTCTTCTAACAACCAGAGCAACAACTTTCATAGGTACATGGAAAGTTCGGATGTCTAATCAAATAGCAACGGAAGTGAAGAGATAACTTGACAGTATTCGGAATCAACTTAAACCCATTCGACCCAAGTTAGAAAGTAAAAGCTAGATACGGGAGAGATGCTGTACTTCAGTCAGTCAGTAACAACGTAGAACTTCGTACGTACGTACATCAGCTCGAGTTGCCACACCACATTAGCACAGAGATGCAGTGGTCAATTCAAATTCCGTAGTGTTAGAGGTAATAAGAGTATAAGCAGTAATCAGGAAAATTGGTGTTTGGAGATGTTATTTAAAGATTATAACACAGTGAAATAAATTTGGGAAGAAAAAAAAAGACGAGGAATAAGGAGATCAAAATTTGGGAGAACACAAAGAGTGTATGCACCTGCGCCATTGCAAACGATTTTGAGCCATGTCATTCAGGGTCTCTAACCATCGGTTGCTATCATCTCGCGGTCCCCAACCAGGTAGTCTACACCTACCAACATGACTCAGTCCATTTGTCAGTGACTTCATGGTCTTGTGCCATGTTTTGGTCTGGCCGCCCCCCAGCTTCCTTCCAACCTACTCCTATACCGCTGAACATCGCACGTCGAGGCAGTCAGTGGTTGGGCATACGTAACACGTGTCCCAGCCATCTCAACTGATGAAGTTTCACTACTTCATCAATTGATTTGCCATCCTTACCTAGTACCTGTTTCCTGACATCTGTGTTACCTGACAACTCCGGTCGCGTAGGGAAATGCTCCACACACTCAGGGAGTTGCCCTGGTGCTTCAACAATTAGGTCATATGTGGCACAATATCCCCACACGAACGCATACACAAAGCTACATGGG